ATTGAAATATATATATAAGATTAATTTCGAGATGTCAGTTATATGAACGAACAATAAGCAAACTAATTTACTACATAATAGATCTAACATCAAGCAAAGTTTAGAATAGACCAATCACCTTATGTGACTTCGGATTCAACTGATATACTAACTGTGTAAATAGATTAAGGTTTTGTTATGTTCTACGAGTTATAATTGAATCTAAAATTGCATTCAAATTAATCACTTAAAAGATAATGAGATCAATTGTGTATCCTGCACTTTTAATTTTTCAGAATTTCTATGCATACATGTATGATAGCTATTCTCAATTGATAACCACTGATCAACTTGATTTTCAAATGTTACGTATTCAATGTCATTTTCAAAAATACATTATATTTAATGTAACTTGTCATTAAGGAGATAGAAGTGTAGATATAGCTTTCACTCCTTAAAAATAATGTATAAATTATGTGTAGATTTACGAAGTATTAAGTTTATATTTTTAAGGCATAAATTCTTAAACAGAAGGAAAGTATAATTATCACACTATAATATTACATTGTTTATAAGGTCTTGTGGTTAATGTAAAATATTTTCTTGTAAAGATTCTTGTCATTGTACAATAAAATTTTAAATTATATAATATAAGTATATTTTATATTAATTTATGATAATATGTTTATATGTAAGTGTAGAAAATTGATGTAAAATTAAGAAAATATATAAATTCTAATAAAATATGATAGAAAGAATCGCAAATTTATGTAAAATACAATTCTTTATTTTTAAATTTTTGTTTTAAAATTTTAAGGATACTTGTAAAATACTTGTATAATTATAAAATTGTAATTGTGAATTATTCTATACTTGTAAAATTATTATGACATGCTTATCATATCTATATTATACTTTATTTTCAAAACAAATCATTGTTATTACATTTAATTTCAGGAGCTAAAAAAATTATGAATATTAAATTTGAAAATCATAAAAGAAATTTAGTATCTTGTGCTTAAGTAATTATAAAATGCATTAAACGTTAAATTTATCTTATATTTTATAGTTTGTATTAGTATTATTGATCTATAAGAATAATAAATTTTTAGGGAAATTTCTTCAACTTTAAAACTTAGTGCAAATAAAATTTATCTATCCAAATCTGTTTAAATAATCTTTTTTAAATAAATACCGTTTGACTAAATAAATTGGTTTCTACTATGACAAAACATTGCGAAATTTTTAGATTTTATTTTATTAACTAGAAATATCTCGATTATGTTTGCAATACATTTTAGTTATAACTTTCCCATTTTTACTTTTTATAATTTATGAATCATGAATTAAGATATATCAATGTTTTTAACTATGATATATATACGACACCATGTATTACTTTTATAATGTTAATAGTGTTACATAATAATATCAAATAAAAATATTAAAAGTAATAATAATATCTTTTTTAAATTCTGAACACTGCTTATATTTATCACTTATGTACAATATTTCATGTACGATACTATAAACACATTGTTATATCAAAAACTTTCAAGGCAAACAAAATTATTAAAACAATGAGAAAACTTAGGTCACAAAATTATGTTTTAAAAATCTATACACATATTAATGATAAGTACAAACTATTTAAAATTTCGAACCTTTTAATTCAATAAATATCATAGTTTCTTTGGAAGATCGTTTTGAAGAATTATTACAATTATTAAGTTTTACTGAATTTTCTTATTGGAATGCAAATGAAGGTAAATTCATTATTGAAATACTTCACTACATTATATGTGTATATATTGGATGAATACTACTATCAACATAATAAAAATACATAATCTTCTTTTTTGTTTATATCGCATCGTTGCACGAGCAAACGTTTAATTAAACAATAGGCACTGCACGAAAGTACCTTTGCCTTATCGAACGAAGCAAAAGCACCAGATTTTTATTAAATATTATTATTTACGGTGATTTTTTTTAAGGAGCCTCGTATCAGTATCACTTAAAACATTACAATATATGTATGTATGTATGTGTATATGTATGTATGTACATGTACATATATACACACATCAGCATGTAATACTTCTGTGAGAACAGGTATCAGGCGACCAAGTTCGATTAATCTTGGTATTCAGCGATTTTGTACAAATTATACTTTGTCTACCTCGTCATGCTAATATAATAATATACGGAATACGCAACACAAATAATGTGTAACTATTCAATTTACGTTTTCAATTAAATTTTTATATTAATTACATACAAATAACAATCTAAAGAAATTTTTAATAACAATGTCCATTAAGAAAATCTGGAAAATTGTATTTTACGAAGTTGTATTTATAATTGAAACTTTGGCGATCCGAGAACATGTACATATACATCAAGTAATATACTATTCATAGTTGAGCGTCGGTTAGTCTTTTACTTTTCAATCCATACTTATACCCTGCTGTGAGTTGTTACCCAGGCGCCAACGCAATGAAGCACAATTAATGTGATCTAATGAAAATATAGGGACGTAATATGTATTCTGATCGTTCGTACAAATTTATACTTGATATGATTTTTTTTTTTTCTTTGTTCTATTGTAATGCCATACTCAACAAATAAGTTTTCATTTGGCATCTGTTGATGATAAGACAGCTTCCGATGATGCATTTTTTAAACTACACGAGATTTTATAATCACTCGAAGACTTTTCATTTTGTACGGTAGTAGTCGCAAGTTCTGTATTCTTTACGTTTCCTTCACACTTGATGTCTCTAAAATTTTTAATATGTATGCAAATATATATTATACATTATATTTTTATGTGTATAATAATATATATATATATATATGTTCTTTCCTTACCTGTTATCTACAATTTTACTTGGATTTGCATTTTTATCAGCAGTACAACTGGAAAACAAACTACTTTCGGTACTTTGGTGCTTTATATTTGTTTCTATAAATGAAGCAGTACTATCAATTGAATCTCCAATTTTCATATCACCTGCTCCAATAGCTTCTACAGTTACTTTGTTCCCCGGTGCAGTTTCCATTTTATTCTCAATTGTTGCTGTATTCAACATTTCTTTTTTACCATCATCACTCAATTTATTATATATTATCACAGAATTTTCCATGTTAAGAGTGTTTTCAAAGTTATCAAAATTTGCCCAACCAGTAGATTCAACTGGTTCTGATGGAACAACATCCCATGGGCTTACTTCAGGAAGTGCAGTATTGGTAGATAATGGTTCCATTGAATTCCAAGCTGAGGTAATAAATATTAATGCAGCAATGTAATAAATTTCAAAATGATTGAATTAAACATTAAGAATCCTTATGCTTAACAGTAATAGCAAATAAAAAATTTATTTTGTATGAAGTAATAAAAATAAAAGTAATCATGAAAATTAAACCATACGCTCTGTAGAATCAATTTCCATATGCATGTCTCGTGGATCTTCATCATCCTCATCAGATGAGTTAGAATCATTATGTTGTTGCTTTGTTGGCCAATCACGTTTATCCACCACTGTTTGAAAAGTAAGTTCACCTTCATCACCCCATTCTACTCCTGTGTTACAATCTTCCAGATCAGCCTTTTGTTTTTGCTGACATATCTGTGTAAGTTCATTAAGAATTTAGAAATTTGTGATATTACAACTAATAAATTTTTATTAATATTACTTGTACCTTATTGAACATATCTTCCCTTTTATCTAGGTCTTCTTCACTGAGTGTAAAGGCCAATGTTGTCAAGTGGTCAACTGAGTTACTATAATAGCATTTATGAAAAAGGTAAAATGTTATAGAGATGTTACTTTATATTAATGAATTATAAAAATGTATTATATTACTTACTGAAGAGCAGCATCGCGATCATTAAATTTATCGTCGACAAGTCCGAAATTTTCAGTAAATCGTGGTGTTATGTGCTGTTCCAAATAATTGGAGTAAAACTATTCATGTTGTACAATATTATGAAAAATAATAATACATTATATTTAAAAAATAAATATCCTATATATCTATACATATAAATAAAATAAAATACATATATCTATATATCTATACTTCGCACTGCATTTTTTAATTACACATAATATTTATTTTATATATAAATATGTTACTAACTTGTTCCACTCGCTGAACCTGAAGAAACTCTTCTTGGGGGAAAGAACTATATTCATTTGAATTTTCACTGGAATTTGTCATGGTTGCCTGGATGTTTCCACCCTAAAAATTCGGATTAAAATGTAAATAATGATAATAAATTCTAATATTAATATAAAATGAAAATTTATGTAATCATTCATATATACCAAAGGAATTTGATGAGTTTTATTAATTTTTGTTAATTCCACATTCACAAAATTTTCCCAATTATTAAGACACTCGGGTAATAAATTATCTTTTAAAAATTTATTTAAATGTTCACTTTTCTCACATTGATTAACAATGTTATTCGCAATGTTTATTAAATGGCCCATATATCCCTGTTTACTTTTAATTTCTTTATTTCTAAAATATAAAATATAATTGTTTTAATAAAACCATTGTATTACTCTAAAATATAACTTGATGTAATATCTTTTTTATTATTACTATTTAACATACTGTTTACTATCATTTTTATCCCATGCTTCCAAAATTCGATCTATTAATCTGCATTTATTAAATATCTAGAAATTAGTTTAATAAAATTAATAAAAGATATTTTCTCTTTGAGACATATATCTTTAATCTTATTGATTAGAATACTTACATTAACATAAATAATGTCATTTGTATCCTTAAAATCACAATTAATAGCTAATGCCAGGCAATATTGTACTTGAGTATGTAGAAAATTGTTCCATGTATATTTAAAAAATAAATCCTTAAAGTAACAAAGTAAACCATTCATCATTTTTAGTAACATAAATTAAAATTTTTGTTAGTATGAAATTTACTTACAAGTAACGTTTGGAATGTTCCTAATTCTACTAAGGCTTCATAAACCTTCACATTTTCAGTTGTCATTAATGTCGTAAACAATTTTGCAACATGTAAACGCGTAAGACCAACTGGACATTCTAATACACCAGTAGTTGTTTTGACGGGAGGTTTCTGTAATATAAAAAAGTATTCTTAAAAAAATATATTAAATCAAATCTTTTTCAGTGCAAAAGTATTTAACTTTTATAAAAATATTAAATTGTTTAGTGAATGTATAATATTGAATATGATATTTACATAAGGTGGATCTAATAGTAATTTATGAAACTGTTCTAAATAAGGCAAAGTTGCATTTGATATCTTTATCCGTTTTTCACTATCTATAATTTCGTCTTCAATATCATTTCCATGAACACTATCCTCATTTCTTTCACTGGAAATTTAAATATTACTTTAATAAGATATGTACATTTCTTTGCAAGTAGTTAAAAATTTTTTAAAATAATTTACATCCTTACTTGTTAGCTTTTGGTAAAAGTGTAAGAAGTACCTGAATTCCACCAAGAATACTACTTTCTAGTTTTTCTCCAGTTAAAATAGTCTCTAGTAACAGGCTTACTGTATCTGTTCTATAATTAAAGATGTAATTTAAATATTTTACACATACTAATTTTACTTAACATTATTTGTTTTATTTAATACATACGACTCAAGAGTGTTTAAAATAGGATCTGAACTAGTGGGTGCTGTAACCGTACGCTGATATTCCCTTGCAGCAATTATCATATCACAAAGTAATTGTGCAGCATTTGCATGTTTGCTTGATTCAGAATTTGGAGATAATAATTTTATTACTCTTTGCACTAATTGTTGACTATCCAACCACTGTTAAAGTAAATAAGCATATAAAATTTGAAATAAGATATTTGGATTTATTGCAAAATAAATTACCATAATCAAGAAAATAAATAGTAAATTAAAAATTAAATTATTAAATTACATTCTTAAAAAATAAGAATTTTATAACTTCTTACATATAGCATATTTTGCCGCATATTTCCTTCAATCTGACTAACAAGTTTCAGTACTAAGTCCATAATTGCAGATGTTTCTAAATGTTGTAAAAGCAGATCGACGCATGTTTGACGACTTTTTAAAAACTCTAAAAGCTGCAAACAAGTGAACTGATACGAATACCAGTTCTGATGGAAAAGAAGGAAATATGGGATTTGAAGGTTTAGGTTTGATCAAGGAGTGAAAGAAAAGGTAATTTAGTGTTTAATATTTATAATACAATTATACTTTAATTACAAAGATTATTATTATTGTGTAAAACTACTTACTATATTGTTCTTTATATTCAATTTTAATAAATTTATTATATTAACTTATAATCACCTGAACAGCTTTGCGACCGATAAGTACTCCAATAGTTTTGCTAAAAAATGATGCCAAAAGAGGATTTAATGGTTGGTCCGTATCAATAAAAGAATAAAGTTTTGCTAACAATGCCTTGTTGCCTAAAATACAATAAACTTTTATTAATGTCATTTTTGAAATTTAAGATTATTGATATTTAAATTATAAACTTCTTGATCTTGCAATTTTTATCATAAAAAAATTAAGTTTTTATAAGTATATTCAAAGAGATTTGTTCAAACCTGCTAATCTTTCATTTAAAACTGCTACATCACAAGTTAGTAGTTCACAAGCTACATTTGGATATTTATAACGCCAACGTTCTTCTATATCTGTTGATGGTTCTTTAGTTGTAAGTATTATTAATTCTTCCATTACATCAGCTCTTGTAAGACTACAAACAATATCATATAAAGACATTTATATTTATTATTACTAGATATATACTTTAATTTTACTTACAATTCAATAAGTTTTTTATTTTGGCTTTTACATTCTTGTAAAATATCCTCTTCATCCATTAATTCATGTAATGTAACATCCTAAAGTGTAATGTAACATCCAAATAATAATTGATGTGTACAAAATATAAAAAAAATTAAATTTACATTCTTTAATGTTAATATAAATGAAAAGATTAATATCATTAAATTATATTTAATCAATTATTTAAAAAATAGATTATCAAAAAAACATAAGAAGTTTATATGATATATCAATATTCCTTTCATTGACTATAAAAACAAAACAATTTATAGTAGCATAGTTTAATATTAAATAAAAAGATTTATTAAATTAATATAGAAGAAATAAAAATGAAGAAATATGTATAAACATTATAAGCATGAAATATTTGAATCTTATGGTAGTCATTAAGAACATTATAGTTTTTAAGAAACGCATCTATTATTCATTTTCATCTAAGAAAAATAATATTTTTACATAAAAAGTTTATTATTTTAAAACATCTCTTGGAAATTATTAATATTTTTTACAAATTTTTATTATTAGAAGGTATTAAAACTGTACAAAAGAAATAGTATCAAATAAATCATAATACACATAATTTTGAAATCAGGAAAATAATAATATAACACGAAAACTCATAATTAAAATGTATATAATATTCTTAAATTGGATTCTTAACAAATTTTTTAAACGTGTGAGATTCAAATCATTAAAGAAAAACTGTTTTAACCGAAAATAGGTTTTTTTACCTCTTTGTTGAGAAGAGCCTCAATATTAGGAGATGACACGTAATTATTTGCCCAAAACATGATGCGACCGCGTATCTCACCTTACTCGACCACGATACGATTAATCAGATGTGAAAATAATCACAACATTGAAGTGGCCACTAAAAAAATAATGTAATGCTTCGCGGGATAAAGAGCCAACTAACATTGCATGAACGTATTAGGACTGTGACGATGCTGTGAATAATTGTTGCAACAACCTCACAGCGTCCCTGTGAGGAATAAAATAATAGAATTCTTTTTTTTTGACAAAACAGATTTCAAAATGTCACTTTTTCTTCAAAAAGCAGGAACTCTTATTAAGAGTTGTTTCAACTTTGACGTTTGCCGCAGAAGTAATACTTTGCGATCGACTTTCAAGGAAAGAAATGTACCTTATTTCAGAACATTTGATTTTGCGATTGAAATTTAGGTACTGTTTTCATAGCGAGCAAATAATATAAATTAAACAAAAAAATATTAATATTGGAAGTAAAAATTCAAGAAACACAATTGAACTGTATTTTAAATAATATACTCTTTTATATATTATATAATAACAATACAATCGATGTTAAAAACATCGAATAAAAATATATTTTTAAAAAATCATAAAACAATGTTAATAGGAATTAATGCATAATTGTATATGATATTCTGAAATAAAAATTTAATTGTCACTTTGTTATTTACTATTATTATTTACCATTATTATTTATTATTTACTATATTTATATACGATATATAATATATATATGAGATATAATATATATGGAAAAAAGTTTTTCAACAATTTGTTACAATTTTTTAGTACGTCTTTCAAAAACTTTAAAAAATTTTAGTGACGAACAGAACATTGCTGATTTTTTGTTACAAACAATATTTAAGTCAATTATTTAGTTACATTTATTAATATGTGTAGTTAAGAAAGTATTACATACTATACTACGAAGAACAATAACTTTGCTTTAATAAATATATTTGTATCACGTGGTTGTTTTAATTTAAGAGTTAAACGTTTTGTACTTTTGAAAAGGTTTATTTTATAATATGGGTAAAAAAGATAAAAACAAGAAGAAAATAAGTGGCAGTGTAAAAACTGCACTTAAAACTGAGAAAAAATTGAATGTTAAACAAAAAAAAGAATTAGCTAAAATTGGAGAGGTTAGACTAATGTATAAATATGTAGAAATTTTTTCTTTTTTTTTTTATTTAAAAGATATTTAATTTTTTAATTAAAATGTTATTTAATATATAATTATGAGGTAAATTTAATAAAAAATAATATTAATTTATTCTTATAAATTTTAGGATGATATAGAACAAGTTATTGCTCAAATTGAAAAAGAAGAATCTAGAAGACAACATGTTATTGAAAAAACAGTATCACCACCATCTAGACGTATGAATTTTACTCTAACAGCACATCCTTTTAAAGATGAACTTATTATGTTTGGTGGACAATTTTATGATGGACGGACGGTAATTTAAAAATATTTTGAATGTTGACATAAAATTTAAGAAACAATAATAGAGTTTATTTTAATTAACTTTTTTAAGTACTTGGTAAATATTACATTTGTCCATAGACATTTGTTTATGGAGACATGTTTATGTATAATTTAAATAAAAATGAATGGATGATTATAAAAGCACCTGGTGCTCCACCTCCACGTTGTGGTCATCAAGCATTAATCACAACAGCAAATAAAGGAGAACTATGGATATTTGGTGGTGAATTTACAAGTCCATCAGAATCACAATTTTATCACTATAAAGATTTATGGGTTTATCGATTTGCAGAAAAAAAATGGGAAAAGATTTTGTATGTTTACCATATAACAATTTTAAATATTTCATATGTAAAGCTTTTTTGTTGCTTAATGTTTTTAATCGTTATTTAAGGGCACCTGGTGGGCCATCAGCCAGAAGTGGTCACAGAATGGCACATATAAAAAAACAATTAATAATTTTTGGTGGATTTCATGATAATTTAAGAGATTATAAATATTATAATGATGTACACATATTTAATCTTGAAACATATGTATGGCATAAAATTGAAGTATCTGGTAAAGTTCTCTTAAATGTAGTAAAGAACAAATGAAAAATTTATGTTTAAAATTATATTAAAGTTATATCATATACAATTACAGGTACTCCACCACTTCCAAGATCTGGGTGTATATTGTTGTCAACACCTGAAAATAAACTTCTTCTCTATGGTGGCTATAATAAAGAAAGAGTAAAAAAAGGTGTTGATAAAGGATGTATACATAGTGACATGTTTCTAATGGCTCCTGAGAGTAAGTAATTTCTTTACATAAAATATCTCATATTAAAATCTTAAATAACGTTAAATATTACATTGTAGAAAATGATCACACTAGCTTGAAATGGAAATGGATATTTATAAAACAGTCTGGAATTAAAGTATCACCACGATGCAGTATATCAGCTACTTTGGTTCAACCTAACTTGGCTTATTTATTTGGTGGAGTTTTTGATGAAGAAGTTAATGAAGAGGAATTCAATGGAATATTTTATAATGACTTAATAGCTTTAGATTTAGAAAAATTCCAATGGCACATAGGTAGTTAATTATAAAAAAAAGTTCTAACAAAAATTACAGTAGTTATTTATCACTGCTTTTAATATTATAGTAAAATAAAAGAATATATTATTATTTAATATCAGTGACATTAAACGGAACAAAAGATATAATCACACGGCGTCGAAGGAGAAAACCGAAAAATGAAGAGGGACAGAAAAATGATATAAAAGACGAAGATAGCAGTGATACGGAAATAGAAGAATCTCCTTCTAACACTATTGAATCTAAAGTTACTGATGATGATGGAATATTCACAGTTACAATAGGTTCAACATCAACATCTGCTATTGATAAAAAAGAAAACGTATATAAAAATGTGTTTGTTCCATGTCCAAGAATAAGCTCTGGACTTGTTGTAAAGCATAATACTTTATATTTATACGGCGGTATGTTTGAGGATGGAGATCGACAATATGTACTCAGCGATTTTTATAGTTTAGGTCTTTATATCATAATGTTATATATGTATATAACAGAAATTTACAAAACAACGTTTTTTTAATATTTACTTTTTTCCTTTAGATTGTCGTAAATTAGATGAATGGAGAATAATATTAAAAGATGATACGTCTTCACACATTTGGTTCGATTCTAGTGATTCTAATTCAGACAGTGAACATACAGATGACAGCCATGAAAATGATTCTGTAGATGAACAGATGGATATTGATGAAAACTAACGATTCTAATGTATTGTAAAATAAAATTATTTAAATACAGTATGTTTTAAATTAATTTTAGTATTTAATTTGATTTCATACTTTATATCTTATTTAACTTCAATTAGATATAATTGATTCTGATTATCCTTTTAAGTTGTTTAATTTTCTTTCCTTTGTGTAATTGTGTTATTTAAAACTTTGTTCTTAAGTTCTTCTAGAACAAAGGAATCCTAAAAATAAAATGTGTAATAGATATAAATCATCATATCTAAAATATATGTATAACAAAAAAAACTTTTATAGTTACCTTTGTAATAATAGATAGTGTACAATCAGAAGTATAAGGATAACAAACACTATTTTCATTTTGTATATAATTATTTTCTGGGAATATAACAATATCATAAATTTTACTTCCAGCTTTAATTAAATTTATCACATCATTATAAAAACTTAAATCTTCAGACTTATTAATTATAATGTGAACTATAAATAAAAAAGTTTCTTAATTTCTTAATACATTAACATGTATGTAATATAATATATAAATAATTACCTTGTAGATTTTTTCTATGACTTACTAAAATACTTCTAATTTTTAATACAATGCTTATGACTTTATTTACTCTTTCATCAAGAGAAATGTCTCTCCATTCACTGAACTGTAATACATTGTGAATATAAATTTATTATTATACTAAAACGTATATTAAAATATCAATATATTACGTGTTCTGGTATTGGATACTCTATTTCCATTAATGATGATATTGACATAAATTCTGGAAATGTGTTTGATAATCTTTTATACAAATCATCAGATATATATGGTATTATAGGTGCAGATGCACGTAAAAATACCTCTAAACATTTCCTCAAACTGTATGTATGACTTGTATGTGTATTTATGCTTTCACTTTTAAATCCCCATTTAGTTGCTTCCTAGATATCAGATTAGTTATACGTAAACTGTAATTATATTTTTAATACTTTCTTATATGATGTCACATGTCTTAAATAATAGTTTAAATTTGAAAATTACTATCTTACCAAATAAAAGTCACAAAATTCATAGTATAAGAAGTTTCTCATTGCTTGAATGGCTATGTGAAAATTTCGTTTTATGAGCGAATCATTGATTATATTAATCATTAAGGATAGTCTGCTTAAAATCCATTGATCAATAATTGTCAGATTTGTAGGTTTTTTATACTCTTTATTCCATGTCATAAGTAAGACATATTTGCTTGCCTGCCAAATTTTATTTAAAAAGTATTTGTTTGCTTGACATTCCATAATATCAAAGTTAATATGTTCATCTGTTTAAAGATAAATATTTATGATGCAATAATTACAATGTTAATAGGTGAAGGGAAAATATTATAAGTTAATGTATACAAACTTTTAATATTATGACTACATAATGTCATGCGTAACGCATCTGCACCGCATTCTGGTACACCATTAGGAAACAGTTTCTTATTTGCCTTTAACATTCGTTTTAGAGTAGATTTATCAAGAACACCAGCATTATGACCTTTTTCTGTTTGTGTTGTGAGCTCCTACATATATTATAATATTTAATGTAAATAAAATATATTTTAGAATGAAACACATATTAATACATACATTTAAAGTAATACCATTGATAATATTTTCTGGAGAAATAATATTTCCTAAGGTTTTAGACATTTTTTTTCCATAAGCATCACATAGGAGACCATGTAACAAAACTTCCTGAAATAATAATTTTTAAATTATTACAGAAAAAAGAAAGTAAAAGGGAGGGATATGGGTATTAAAAAATAAATTTTACATCAAAAGGCAGACGATCAGTCAATTCTAATCCTAGCATTACCATCCTTGCAACCCAAAAGAAAAGAATATCGCTTCCTGTTTCCATTAATGTTAAGGGATAATATTTTTTAAAATTTGTTGTCTGAAAATATATACTATAATGTAATGTAATGATAATTTACATATTATTTAATTATTATGACTTTGTACTTTTTCTGGCCATCCCATTACTGCAAAGGGAAGTATAGCAGAAGAAAACCAAGTGTCCAATACATCTTGATCTTTATGTAATTTTACACATGAACCATATTTGTTTTGTACAATAGCCTCTGCATCATCTTCGGTTCTTGCAATTATCCATTCACTTTTACTTTCTGCTGTTATACAATATGCGGGAATAGAATGACCCCACCATATTTGTCTTGAAATACACCAATCTCTAAAAAAATATTATAATTAAGAAATAAATATTAATTTTTTTTACATATTGTGTATCTTTTTTTACCTGATATTAACAAGGTAATGACAAAACGTTTTTTTATGAATAGTAGGTATTATTTTTAGATGACCCTCCTCTACAGTTTGTATTGCTTTTTGTGCCATGTCTTTGCACTTAATAAACCATTGTTCTCTTGGTAAATATTCTACAATATCGCGAGACCTAGAGCACAATGGTATGCACATCTTATGTTCGCTAATACTTTTTAGAATTCCCTTATTTGACAATTCATTTAAAACTTCCCTTCGTGCAATAAATCTTGGCAATCCCTGAAATTTTATATTCCAATACAAAAGATTATATTAGAAACATTTGTTACATTACAATCTAGTTCGTTGAATAACAGCATTTAATACTTATTATTATTATATATAATAATAAAAATATAATTATTTAACTAAAAAATACTTTGAATTGTTTGCCTCTTTCTGTTATGTTTCCACATTCATCGATAACTTCAATAATTTCTAATTGATGATTATTTGCAATTATGTAATCTAGAGGATCATGTGCTGCTGTTATTTTCATTACACCTAAACTCATAAAAAAGTTTTTATTATTATTATGCACTATTCAAATCAACAAGATCTTGAAACAATTGAAATATATTTACCTGTACCAAATTGTTTATCAACTAAAGAATCAGATATAACAGGTATATGTGTTTCTCTTAAAGGATGCCAAACTTGTTGTCCAATATATTTTGCATATCTCTCATCATCTGGATGAACAGCAATTGCTACATCTCCAAAAAGTGTTTCTGGTCTACTAGTTGTCACTATTATCTCATGTTCTAAGAAGAAATTAAAATTAATTTATTTACAGAAATTAAATATTATATACAGTATGAAAAACATATTACTTGAATCTTTTATTGGATAAGCTATATGTGCTATTTCTCCAAATGTAATCTTTTCCTTATATCCTGGCACTTGAAGTTCTGTTTTTTTATTAATATATAAATGTTCCACTTCAATATCTGATATTGTGCTGTGTAATGTAGTAGACCAATTAATCAAAGCTTTTTTTCTATATAATAAATTTCGTTCGTTTAATATTAAAAGTGCTTCTATTACAGCATTATTATGATTCTAAAATTTCAAATATAAAAGAATACATTGTTTTTTTAAAAATTGAGATATTTCTTATAGAAAATATTGCATTCCATACTTCACTCATTGTAAAATACTCTCTGGACCAATCTAAACTAGCACCTAAAGCTTTTAATTGTGTTCTTATAGAATTTTGCATTTCGTTTCTCCACTGCCAAACATATGATAGAAACTGTTCTTTTCCTATATCTGATTTATTAATCGCTTTTGTTTTAAGTAAATGTTTCTCTACCATCATTTGTGTTGCAATTCCAGCATGGTCAAAACCTGGTATCCATATTACAGAATGACCATTCATTCTATACCTAAATGCAAATTATATTTCAAACTGTTCCTCATTTTAATATTTGATGCATTAATAATTTTTAGTGAAGATACCATCTTGCTAATATATCTTGAATCGTAACAGTTAATGCATGACCTAAATGCAATGTACCAGTTACATTAGGAGGAGGTAAAAGCATTTTCAATGTTGCTTCCTTATCATTTTTTACAGCAAAATAATTGTTTTTTTCCCAAATTTGATACCATTTATGTTCAATTTCTTTAGAATTATATGTTTTTGGAAAATCTAAGGAGTATAGGTAATACTTTAATACAAACATTGTTTTTCTTTTAAATATCATATCATGTAAACTATACCTGATAACTGTTGAGTAGTAAATTTATTGTAAGAATATTTATAACAACAATTGAAGCGTGGTAAACTATTAAATTGTACAGTTTTCATTATGAATTAAATGTATTACAAATTACTCTACAAATTAGTCTTTCTTTAATCCAAATCCTTAATGGCACATAACCTATAAAGCGAATATCACAACATTCATTTAATACAATAACAGACGTTAATAACGTCTATATAGCTATACTCAAATCTGTGGCAGAATAATTTGTGTTAAAAGAATAGTATACATTCATTCAAAATATACCTATAAAACCTATTAAACTTTTTGTGTAACGTTATATATATTATACAATATATTTTTTCCTTAAGTATTTTTTATTCAAATTCTTATAAAAGATTTGCTATTAAAAGATTTTGTGATAAAGTACATTGAGCATAAATAATATGAAAACAAAACAAATGATATTATTTTTATCCTCAAGGTTTAATATTTATCTATATTCAAAATATAGTAAGAATTATATTGTTAATGAATTATACATTAAAAAATAATAATATAATAAGTACAAAGAAAGTAATTTTTTATTTGATAAAAATTTAAAAGAAAATATTAATTAACATTTACAACATGATAAACTTATTTTTTCATTCCAAATAACAAAATATTACATTAAATATACACAATTATTTAGTTCTTACAAGGAGAGTGCAAGTCCTTCAGGTCACCGATTTAGTTGAAATCTTGCAAGTTTGTAGATATCGTCATGCAGTTTAAGAAAATATATCATTATAGCCGCAACTACTCAATAGTTTTTGAGATATTTGCAATTAAAGTTTGATTACGTACGCTATTATAAATTTACTTGAAATTTGTTTACAATCAAGTTATATCGTAACGGTGACGATCGAGAATTTCTATACTGGAGGAACGGAGTTCGATTCCCGTCCATAATTTTGATAATTCTTTTAAATATATTTTTTGTTTTGTTTTTATTTTTCGCCTATGAAAACATTGTAAATACACAATTATAAATAAAGTTTCTTAATAAAAAAATTTATTCTTTACGCTTCCCTATGCTAATTTATATTTGTTACAAAATAATAATATTATGCAACAAAAATACTTTTCTATAGTAATCTGATTTATTACAGGGAATACAAAACCTATCGCTCATGTAAGTATTAATTATTAAATTAAACATCCTATAAGAATGTTGCCTATAATTCCAACTTTGCTGTGCAGCTATAAATTTTCATGA